GAGAATTTCCCATAGATGAGGGTGTGGAAATTAGCAGCCGTCAGTGCCCTCACTGCGGTTTTGTAGGACTCTTTTGTCAGTCCACTCTGGGATACAAGAAGGAAAATACAATAAACTGCAAATGTTCTATATACATAGTCAATAACACACGCCCAATAAAATGGATCAAAATTACGTTGCATTATTATTTAGTAGCTAAAGTGAAGTATAACCAACTGCTACATGCCACACAGTTTTCGTTAAATATCTCGGTGTAGTTAGTTATTGCTATATTGTTGTTGTTGCTATTTTTATTATTCGTTCTTAATGCGATTTTTCTATGCCCTTTGCCCACAAGAATAACTAGTATTGTTAAAATGTGTGTTAAAATAATGCCTATGAAATGACTGGAGTGCGTTATTAATTTACCTTTAATTTTTGAGCCCTGCGATATTTTTAATCGCCCTGCATCTCATTTTTGCAACCCTTTCTTTTTTGCATTTCCACTTTTGCCTAAACATGGTCCGTCATTCTGGATCTTATAAAAATAGAATTAAACAATAATCAATTTCAGTTACATACCTTCTATTATTATAAATTAATTGCTATATATCAACTCGAAACAGACACAAAATGAACAAAACAAAATACACTGGCATGCTAACTCTACTCATGTACTGCAAATTTTATCTGAGGCCTCAATTGTGAACAAGTATCGATACGAAGAAAATATATTGATTGCACATACAGTATGTTGACACAATAACAAACCATGTAATATAATTCAATAAAACTTTTATAAACTGTTTCAGTTCAACAGCATTCACAGATTCCAGTTACACTATTCATTGGCAAATAGATTAGGCGTTAACCATTGGCTTATATAGACTGTATACGTATCAAAGGCAAGTAGAAACAGATAAAGTAGACCATATACTATGAGTCTCACCGCGCATTGGCCGGGGACGTTCTATTAACCAGTCTTTCGTGTCGTCCTTTGCCCGTATTCATAACCCCATCTAGGTTTATAATGACTGTCAAACAAACAAAATACGAGACAAATTTTAATGACTCGAGAATTTATGTCACTTGACCACATTATCATAGAATTTTTTAAACAAAATCATCTCAGCATACAGATAAAACACTGATAAGCGCTAATCTTACCTTTGTTTGCCTCATCCATACCATTTGCTGCCCTTCTTTATTCTGTTCCCCCTTGGCTCTTCATATTCTTGCCACTTAGATGCTGGCTTTGGTTTCGCGTATCTGGCAATATGAAAACCATGTGCTATATATGTTAACAATTAATAAAATGAAACCAACTCCATGCGGCCAGTAGATACGTAATAATCTAAAATCATTGAATGGATCATTCATTGTGCTATAGGAGCTACTACAATATTTATAGCTTCATCTCTAACTAGTTCACAACTTGTATAACAGTAAATTATTTATACCAGACCGTTTTTCTCTTGGAATCAACTGTAGTGAGGTAGTGGCAGCTTGAGCAAATAAAACGTTTGGAATAATATATATGAATCCTGATAACCACTGACATTTTCGGTACATGTATCTGATGCAAAATTGGAATATCATAAAACTGTCTTACTGTAGTTTTGCCCTAGTGAAATGATCTACACGAACCCACAGTAATAGATTCGATATTCGAAAGAGAGGTCACTAACGAAAAGGGTGGTGGTAGTTATGCATTTCAGAACAAATATGAGTGATCAATACCAAAACCATAAGGCAGCTAATTGCTTTGTTGTATTGGGTTATCCATTTAGCATTCTACTACCTGCCAGTCCTCATTGTCAGCATCATAAGTCTTATAAACTTCTTAAAGTAAGTGATAGATAAAGTAATGAATATGATTTAGACTTATGGCCAGCCATTAACTATTCTATGTTACTGACAACTGAAGTGCTGAACCCTACTTACAACATTTGATCTATTATAAGATAAATATATAATTATATATATAGTATATACCTAATTACAACATGTTATCTATATAAATATATATATATAAACTACCTTGGCAACCACCACGTTTTCAATCCTCTCAACTGGCACCTATAAAAAATAACATGGCAGATTAATTTTATTTCTCTAGCCATGGTAATTACATTCTGAATGCATTATGAATTGAAGATAGTGTCATAACCTATGACCAATACCTCAGTGGCTGGTTTTATACAATGTGCTTGAAGCTAGGGAGATATGCTTAAATGGCTCAGTCTGGTGGCTAACACTCAACACTCACTCACAAGTTCTCATTCAAATCTGCCTTCATATAAGGGCAGTAAATCAACAACAGACAACACGCACTGCAAATTAGAAAACTATTGGGTGCAGTTTGATTACCACTAGTTTATCAATTCCCATTTGGTTCAATAAACATTTATCAGTAGAATACATTTATACACATACCTCCCAGATTTTATTTACAAGAAGTTGTATGTTGTCACGTGCTAAGGTTCTCATGCATTCGTCTTGATTTGACCTGTAAATAACAAGTATCTGTTTATAGACACGTAAACAAATCTAGAAATGGAATTGTGCTTTGAAGTATCAATTTATCAATACTCTCTTTACAATGATCCTCATATCGATATCAATTACATAATTGTAACGGCACTTTTATAAACTGAATTTTTTGCTTGCCACTTCCTGCTTTGGCAAGATTCGCCAACAATAACTGTACGCACACAGATTACTGCCACTCTCTGAAGCAGTGGAGAAAGATGTGTTTTCTCTATCTAGCTAATAGTATGCTCATTGTGTGGAATTTGGCTGTGTGTTACTTGGCTATCTAGAGTCTACTTTGGCCACAAGCCCACCCCACAATTGTATGTACACTGCCCGCAATTCATTTCCATGGTTACAAGCAGGTACAGTCATTGAGAGGATATGATAATGTATGGACACTAAGTACATGTACTATGAATATATGCTTGATCTTGATCTTGATTTTGATTGTGTACTGCGTCGACCGCGTATACGTGTATTATGACGCAGGTGGTGGGGCATGGTGAAATTAGGTGCTGCCGGCTGCGACCGCGACACAGATGGCGTCGATTACGGTCTGTGTGCAGGCATTCCAGTCCACGATGGTCCGTGGAAAGAATGTGTTCTTGAATTCCTATGTTGAGGTTGTAATGTCTGCGAGTTTGTTGCCATTTTTGCTCCGTGTGCGCGATGGACCCATCCTGATGTACTGGACTTTGGGGATCGCGGTACTTCCAGAGTGAATTTTGTTGAGAAGGCTGAGTCGCTTCTCTTTACGGCGTAGTTGAAGATTCGGCCAATTAAGTGATTGTAACATTGCAGTTACGCTGTTGGTTCTGCCATAATCGTTGCAGACGAATCTAGCTGCGCGGCGTTGGATCATTTCAATTTTTCTATGTCTCTTTTTAAATGTGGGTCCCAGACTGTACAGCCATACTCTAGCTTAGACCGAATGAGAGATTTGTATGCTGTGGCTTTCAGTGTTTTGGGCACATATTTCAGATTCCTTTTGACAAAGCCAAGGGTGCTGTTGGCTTTCGCACATAAACTATTGATATGTTTGTCCCACTTCAGGGTGTTAGAGAGAATTACGCCGAGATACAGAGTTGACTCAACCTCCTGGAGTGTACTTATATTTTGTCTCTAGTGTTGTGAAAAGATTCGAGCGTCCTGGAATTTCTGTGCGGACGCTTTCTTACCTTCTCTAACCTAGGGCCTACTTAGCCCGACCAGGCTGTGCGACGGATTGTCTATACAGCCTGACACCCTTCCATACAAAAAACCTATCACATCTGCTGTTAGGCATTCTCTGTAAAGCTGTTCCTCCTCACGTATATCTCTTGTAGTGCTTGCTTTTTGTGTCATGTTTGTGCGTCTGTTGTCAACCTCCGTGACACTCCATGTATGGCTCCTTGTCACTATCGTGATGTGACACTAATGTTTGTTCTCACTAGGAGGCGACAAGATTCCGCGCAAAGGAGGTCCAGGCATAACCCAGAGTGACCTGCTCGTTATCAATAAAACTGACCTTGCAGAAGCTGTAGGTGCAGACCTGAAGGTAGGCTTGTATGTGTGTTCATGCATACGTGTGTGTGCACATGGGTGCGTGTGTGCATGCGTACGTGCGTGCATGCGTGCTTACATGGGTGTTTGGAGTGCAAATCCAACCAATGGAGAAATCCCATAGACGCGTAAAGGATCCTTGGCATGACTGTTGGGAGCTGACATGTTTGTTGCCGAACGTGAAACATGATCACGTGACAAGTTGAAGTTGAACGCGCTCCGCTGTTTTATAATTAACTCCGCGTTGCATTTTTCACCGGGTATGAGACTTGCTACTTGACGATCCTCATATATTAGGTAGCCCCAGACTATAGCCCAAGACTATAACTTGGGCTAAGTTACGCGAAGCAACAAAACATGACTGACCACTGACCACAGAGTGGTTGTCTACAGCAAGGAGCTAAATATAACAAGGA